ATCCCCCCCTATATATATATATATATATATATATATATATATATTCAAGTATTGTGACTATATTAATCCTAGGTATGTTATTTTTTGCAGCGAGTTGATGATCTGTAAATGTAATGACCATTACAAATCATTATATAAACATCATTCTATCATACATTACAATGGATGTATATACATAAGTCAATCCAATTATCCAAGTATGATAAAAAACCTCCTCCAATTTTAGAAGTGATCCAAGATCTTGTTCGATCATGAGCAAATTTTAATGATATTTGTTATATCCACATTATAGATGATGTCAAAACTTTCTTGCTTGAGAATGAGAATGCTCTATCTTTTAGATCCAAAATGACCGTAGTTATATAACCAGTTTTACGACAATTATTTATATAGTACTGTTGCAACGGTAATCAAACGATAACTAATAATTTAGTTGTTTAAAATTCATAATGAAATAAATTGTTACAATATATTTACTTTTATGTTATTATCATTATTATTATTATTATTATTTTTACCCCTTTTAAGATATCCTGTTGTCGAAAACTAAAGACTAATATCTCAAAATACGAAGTTCATTTAAAGGATTATACCTTTCAACATATGTTTTTCTACACACATGAATACCAAAATCAAACTCTTAACTACATACTTAAAAAGTGCAATTTTATGGATAATATAACATGAAAAAAAATGTACTAGATAGGGTACAAATATAGATGAGATACACAACTTTTAAAAAATTCATATATATATATATATATATATATATATATATATAGTTATATAAACATAAGAAAATTGGATAAATGATAAAAAAAAAAATCACAAATAAACAGAACATTTGTCACTTGAACTAGAAGGCTAAGGAATACTTGAGATTGTAACCTGATTCATTTATAGGCCTTTTTCATAACTAAATTGAATATGTAGACAATGTAAAATCTGCTGCATTTTAATTCAAAGCTAGCTACATATTAACAACAGTACAAACCTTTTGATGTCCTGAAGATGCATTCTACGATCTCCATGAATACATATGCTACATACATTTTATATGGCTTGGTTTATCTAGGAATTACAATGAAGCTGGATAAAACTGCAAAAATATATATACATTCAAAATGATTTGTCAAACCTCTCGCCTTTAAGCAAGAAAA